TTTTTTTTTTTTTTTTTTTTTTTTTTTTTTTTTTTTTTTTTTTTTTTTTTTTTTTTTTTTTTAAGTTCTCCTGGGGTGGATATGAATTTGACACTTTCAGGGCAATGAAATGATAATGGAGCTGTGTTATAAACTCCTGTTAGAGGCCAGTACAGCAGCCTATATCCCATCATGCCTTTTCATTATGAGTGAGTGGGAGGAAAAGCAAACATTGAAAAAGTGCTTCAGCCAAAATTCCATGTGTAATGCCATTGGGAGAGTATTGACTAAAATCATTTCAGTCAGGGAAATATAGTTGTAATATTTTTACAGGATTTTCCTAAGCAAATGAAGGAGCCTTCAGTTGTGTAAATTTCCATTGCCCCAAAATGTATTTGCTACATTTCACTGTTGTTTGAAGTATTACCTCTTAACCTTCTTTGTTAATTTTTTTCATTTTGTCTTATGTAGTCCAGTTTTTCAAGATAAACTCAGTCTTTTTTCAGATGTCACCTTTTTACCAATACTTTTTCATTAAATTATGAAAACTGCTAACTACTGTCTGTGTGGTAATTTTTTATGTTGGCGTATGGGTTTTAGAAAATCTTACGTATGTGCTTTTTATATTTAAAAAATCTTACTCATTAAACAAAACAAATGGTAGGGGGAATGGAAAGAGGAGGAATTTAATATTTCGAAGCACGAATTCATGGTTAATGTCAATATCAGGGACCAAAGAGAATTCTGGGAACTTGAACTCTACCAGAAATCATGGGTTCACTAGGCTGATAAGACAAAACCTTAGGATCATCATTTAAAAATCACCAGGGAACGGGTGGAGGTGGAAGAGGGCATAGAGGGGATAAATGGTGATGGAAAAAATAAATGTTTTTAATAAAATTAATTTAAATAAAAATAAATAAATAATCACCAGGGAAGTGGATCCTATCTACAGTCACAAAGTGCAGAAGGCTTAAATCAGGCATTACTTAAATATACATCTTTATAATATTCATTCTATTTGAAGTCATGTGAGTATATTAATGTTATAGGGGTTATGTAGTATCATGGGGGGATTTTGAGGCCATTATAAACATTTTCATTATGCTTAAAAAATGTATTTGCTAAAGGTCATTTGACAAATAACTAGTGAAGAGAATACAAAGGTGTTTCTCTCCCCTTTTCTCCTCCACTCCCTCCCCCTCCCATTAATGGATAACCTTTTTTAAAAAAAAATATACCTTTATTGATTTCAGAGAGAGGAAGGGAGAGAGAGAGAGAGAAACATCAATGATGAGTCATCATTGATTGGCTGCCTCCTGCACGACCCCTACTGGGGATCGAGCCCGAAACCCAGGCATATGCCCTGACTGTAAGTCGAACCTCCATCTCCTGCATCCTAAGTCAACACTCAACCACTGAGCTATGCCCAGCCAGGCTGGATAACTTTTGATTGAATGCAGGTGGCTTCTAGAAACTGAAGTTGTTTAAACTGGCTGGCTTAAACAACAGAAATTTATTTCTCACAATCTGGAATCTGGGAAGTTCAAAATCAAGATGCTGGCAGATTCCATATCTGTTAAGGGTCCGCTTCTTGTCTAAGTAGCCACCTTCTTGTGTGCTCACATGGCCTTTTCTAGGTGTGTACTCATGGAGAGAGAGAGATCTTTTCCTCTTATAAGGGCACTAATCCCATTGTGAAGGTCCCACCTTCATGGCCTAATTGAAACCTGACTACCTCCCAAAGGACCCCCCTCCAAATGCCATCGTATGGGGGGCTATGGTTTCAACATATGAATTTTGGGAAGGACACAAACATTCACTCCATAACAACCAAGTGAGATTTATCCCAGAAATGCATGGTTGATTTAACATTCAAAAACAATCAGTGTAATTCCACCGTATCTCAATAGATACATAAAAAGCATTTGACAAAATTCAATATACATTCCTGATAACAACGCTCAGCAAACTTAGAAGAGAACTTCCTGAACTCAATAAAGGACATCTATGGAAAACCTGCAGCTAACTAACATTATATTTAATGGTGAAAAATAATGCTTTCCCCCTAAGATCAGGAATAAGGCAAGAATGTCCCCACTTACTACTTTTCTTCAGCATTGTACTGGAATTTCTAGCCAGTCTGATAGTCAAGAAGAAAAAATGAAATGCATCCTGATTAGAAAAGAAGAAATAAACTTAATTTATTCTCAGATGACATGATTGTCAATGTAGAAAACCAGGTGGAATCCACACAGAAAAGCTACCAAAACTAATAAATGAGTCTAGCAAGGCTGCAGGATAAAAGGTCAATTTCCAAAAGTCTGTTGTATTTTTATACTGGAAAGTAGCAATCAAATTGAAATTTTTTTAAATAATACTATTTATCATATTACCAAAACATGAAATTCTTAGGAGAGGTGTGAAAGGCCTGTACAGTGACATCTTTAAAACATTACTGAGATAAATAGAAGACCTAAGTGAATGGGAAAATATACCATGTCCATGGGTCAGAAGACTCAATATTATTAAGAAGTCATTTATCCCCACATTGGTCTATATAAATTCAATGCAATTTCAGTCACACCGGGTTTATGGAGGGGGGGGTAGAGGATTGATTGGCAAACCGATTTTAAAATTCATATGAAAGTGCAACGGCCCTAAAATAGGCAAAACTGCTTAGAATGAGGAGAATGAATTCAAGACATTATAAAGCTACAATCAGTAATCAAAACAGTGTAGAATTTGCCTGGCCAGTGTGGCTCAGCCATTGAGCATCGATCTAGGATCCAGGAGGTCAAGGTCTGACTCCTGGTCAGGGCATATGCCCTGGTTGCAGGCTCCATCCCCAGTAGGGGGCGTGCAGGAGGCAGCCGATCAATGACTCATCATTGATGTTTCTATCTCCCCCTCTCCCTTCCTCTCTCTGAAATCAATAAAGATATTTTTTTTTTAAATATTTTTTAAAAAAACTAGAATTGGTGTAAAGACACACAGATCAATGGAACAGAATGAATTCAGAAGTAGGTTCACGCATAAATGGGCAACTGATTTTCAACAAAAGTGCAATTTAGTGAAAAGAAGACTGTCTCCCAAAAAGTGTGGTGGAACAATTGGATACCCATGTGTAAAAAAATAAAACCAATTCATACCTCACACCATATATAAAATTAATGAAAAATGGAT